AAACATTTGAAGAATAAGGAAGCAAAAATTAGAAAATATCTGATTGGTAGAGACTACACAGTGGTGAGAGGAACAAGGAAGTATAAAGCCCAGAGTTGACTTGGCCTTTTCGGATTGGCTGACTTGGATATACCGTGTTTCCCCGAAAATAAGACATCCTCCGAAAATAAGACCTACTTACAGGTTTCCTTCTGAGTGAAATATAAGGCATCCCCCGAAAATAAGGCCCCCCCTAGGCTAAACATGCAAGATTTGGTCCACTGATTCTGAAAGAATTGGAGTCACAAGAAATTCACCAGGAAATTCAGGAATTGGATTGTTATGATGATGTTCCAGAAGATGATGACATGATTGTCATTAAATAAATGAGTAAATTCTTGATACTATAGGATTCACAATTTGTCTGGTTTGTGTTGACAACTACCGTACTACCGTACCGTATACAGGTAATAAATTTCCTTTATTTTCATTTAACAATAAATGTGTATCATATTCTTCTTCATGGAAAAATAAGACATCCCCTGAAAATAAGACCTAGTGCATCTTTGGGAGCAAAAATTAATATAAGACACTGTCTTATTTTCTGGAAAACAGGGTACTGTATTTGTGGTCAAACAGAGCATTTATAGGGACATGAAAGCTGTCTAAGTTTCTGTTTCCTGATGTAGCACCCCAGGCAGAAGCAGCTCCATCTTGAGCCTCGTAAGTTATTCTGACACGGGCAAATTCTGCTAATGGACAACAGCTATGAAGATAATGAAAGAACAGTTTAGATAGATGATGGTTCTAACTGCAGCAATACCATCCACTGGATGCATTTCCTCCAGTTCAAAGTAATTCAATTTAGTAGATGTTTATTGAGTCTACATTGTACGCAAACAACTCACATGCTTCAGTAAAAGAATTCATTTGAATCACAATAGTTAAGAGAAGAATAGTCATGTAATCTAACCTTCTTTTCCAGATAAGAAAACAGAAACAAGTGTGTTTAGTGATGTTTTGCATGAGGTCAGCCTAATTATTAAGACTTGGTGGCAACGCCAGAAATAACTAGGCCAAGTGTTCTGACCACAGTGCATGCCCGCCAATATTTTTCACCCTTTCTGGGAAACCTTCCCTGTCTGTTCGAGTAAATCTGATCATTTATCTTTTGTGCTACAATTGGGCCAAGTACATGGATCTATCATTGTAATTAATCATAAGATTACAATTATTACAATGATATCCATTTATCTGGTGTATGGGCACTGGGGCTCCAATACGAACAACTGACAAACTATATATTATGGTCGGGAAGAAGGATGGGGGCAGGGAGAAAAGGATGGGGGAGGTTGTTTTTTTTTAACCTCTTCAAGCTTCAGTTTCTGAATCTGCAATAAGGGGATAATTTGATATCCAACTCAGAGGTTTAATAATGAGATAAAAGTGAGAAAATCATTTTAATTTTTAGCACAGGGCCTGTCACATAGTAAGTGCTAAAAAAAAATAGCTGCTGTTATTTTTATTGTTATTATTTTCAGAGTATTTATTGAGCACCAACAATATCTCTAGTACCAAAAATATCTGGCCTGTTCAGTCAAAAAAGAAATGTATTGAATATCTCATATGTATCATATGCTATTGCCAAGCACCGGATTTTCAAACATTAGTAAAATTAATAATCAGTGTGATAATAATTACAATTGAAATGAATTAACATCCTAATAGTAAACACAGTAAAGGATTGGTTAAATGCAGCTAGGAACATAGTGGAGGGCAAAGACAAACTTCACAGGGAAGGAGAACTACTTCCTGCAATACCTCCCGCTTCTTCATTTCCTTTTAATGTGTCAGGGAAAACAACGTTTTCCTGTACCTCTATGAAACCTGGAAAGAGATCTGAGGCAAAGAAAAGCTATCTGGGCATAGTGGTATGTGCTATCAGCTAATGTAGGTGACCTTGGTAATGTAACACTAAGCAAGAAGGGGCAAATTTACTATTAGCATAAGAACAGGAACAGTGTTTCATAAGATAAGGTGTCTAGGTCAGGTAATCAGAACACAAATTACTCATGTATATGAGAGTAAATGGTTTGAGGGAAAAACGATGATCCTCATTAATCATTTATGTTCTCTTTCAGGAGGAAACTAAATAAAACCCATTGGTAGGACCCACTAGTTTCCTTCTCGCCACACATACACCTCTCTCCACCTACATATTTTGTGTTTCTTCTGCCCCATGTGCTCCCTCTCCCAGAGCCATTAGACAGTGAGTGCTACCATAACTACATCTGGGTTACATTACTATGAAAATATTGTGATTTTACTAAAATTCTGTTAGAGCTCTATCCCTTTAACATGGCTAAAGTATACTTATAGCACACACAAAAAAAATGGTGGAAGCAATTATAAATAACTGCAGGACAATATGAACCTCACGCTAATCATCAATAATCACATCCAAACATAAGTCACACAGAATTATTAACCAAGATCTTAGGTGTACCACCTTAACTGGTTTGGCTCTATGGATAGAGGATTGGCCTGCAGACTGAAAGGTCCCAGGTTAGATTCCAATCAAGGTCATGTACCTGGGCTGCAGGCACATCTCCAAGAGAAGGTATGCAGGAGGCAGCGGATCAATGTTTCTCTCCCATCAATGTTTCTGATTCTCTATCTCTCTCATTCCTCTCTATAAAAAAATCAATATATTAAAAAAAAAATACTGGGTGTACCAGTTAACAATGCAGATTTTTTCAACAGATGGAGTTACACATATGTTGATATATATGTGATTTCATATGTATGCTATTTTGTTGTATTGATAGCAAGCTTCAAAACTTCATATGTCAATTTTCCTGAAGGTGTTAACATCATAGATATTTTTATGCTAAAAATGTCATATTTCTTGCCAAAAAAAAGAGCACTTGCGGGAAGTTTTAATTCATTACTTCATTCTGAAGAAAAAGTTATCGTAGACTTCAGGAAGTTTATGGTAAACATGCTCCATCTCAAGATACTTGTGAACTCTGGTTTAAACACTTTAAAAGTGATGATTTCAATATGAAAGACAAAGAATGTCCAGGTCAACCAAAAAAGTTTGAAAACTAGCAATTAAAAGCATTATTGGATGAAGATGCCTGTCAAACTCAAAAAAATTTGCAGAAAGATTAAACATCGTTCAGCAAACAATTTCTGATAGTTTACAAGCAATGGGAAAGATTTTAAAGGAAGAAAAATGGGTGCCACATCAACTGAACAAAAGACAAATGGAAAGCCGAAATGTCATGGGTAAAATGTTGCTTCAATGGCACAAAAGAAAGTCTTTTTTGCATCAAATTGTGACTGGCAATGAAAAGTGGATTTATTTTGAGAATCCAAAATGCACAAAATCATGAATTAATCCAGGTCAACCACCAACATCTACTGCAAGGACAAATCACTTTAGAAAGACAGTGCTCTGCATTTGGTGGGATCAGGAAGGTGTGGTGTATTATGAGCTTCTAAAACCAGGTGAAACCATTCATACTGATCACTACTGACAACAAATAACCAATATGAACCATACTTTGATCATGAAAGGACCAGAATGTGCTAGAAGTAATTTTGCTTCATAATGATGCACCATCGCACACTTCAAAACCAGCTAAAGACACGTTAAAAGATCTCTCCTGGGAAGTATTAACTCACCCGCTGTATTTACCAGACCTTGTCCTTCAGATTAGCACTTGTCTCCAATTGACAGCACATGGGCTTTCTGAGCAGCACTTCAAAACATACGGAGAAGTGGAAAATTGGGTCTCTGAATGGTTTGCCTCAAAACAAGAAAAGTTCTATTGGGACGGTATCCACAAATTACCTGAAAGATGGGGGAAATATCTACCTAGCAATGGACATTACTTTGAATAAGGCGCTTCTGATGTTTCTCTTGAAATTATAGTGTTTTATTTTATTACAAAATCTGCCATTATTAACTGGTACACCTAGTACTTGAAATTTAACACTAGAAAAAAATACAGTGGTAGATTTTATATGTGTATCTGCTCAGTTGAAGGTGAAAAAATGCAATTAACTCCTTTTTATAGGCCAGTGTATTATTCCCGTGATCATTACTTAGCTAAGCTACTTAAGGATAAGTGTCCTTTAGAGAAAGGACTCTGTTTCTCATTAACTAGATTTCTGACCCATAGAGGAGTTTTAGCAATTATTTTCAGGTGCTTTAATTTTTTTTCCATTAAGCACGTCATCAAAATTTTAGCAAGTAGTATGATTTAATATTGTTTGGTCAAAGGTCCTTATTTAATAAATCAAATCAGATTGTTGGCTTACCTCCAAAAATTAAAGGTCAAGCATCTCGGCATAACTATTTTTGAAAAATTTATAGCTAGGCAGATTATTAGCTGAGATACTCTCTAAAGTAGATTTGCTTTGAGAGAAAGTCTTCTTTCGAATTTAGAAAACCAAAATAACCAATAATCATTCTAGTCTCTGAGAGAGAAGAAAAAAAAAAATTCAGTTGAGGTCACATACACATGTCACAGAGACAGTTAATAATCCAATCTGAAAGAGAACCAAAGATAAAGAACACATCAATTATCCTAGATAATGGACCTATAATAAAAATAAAGGGTACTGTATTTGAGATAATCAAAGTGTGAGTTAATAAGGAATGACTGGCACTTACATGTTCTGCTCCTTCAGAGATTATAATGATTACAGTCTTGCTGAAACCCTTTGTAAAGTGGCATTAGAATGTATTAGCACAATATCTTCAAAATAAGAAATACAGATTCAAGGCGTCATATTTTTCCTATAAGTAAAAGAATCTAATAAACTGAAATTAGGTATTTTTGTAAGCAAAGGGGACTAGGTCAGGCTCTTCCATAATTACTTTAACATTTATTAGTGGTCTTAAAGTTCAAATGTTACTACTTCAGGTGACTGGATGCCCACATCCACACCAATAGGAGAGGGAAAACATGAAGAGAAAAATGGTCTCTGTGTATACTCTTTAGGAATGAGTGCTCACTTCGGCAGAACATACACTAAAATTGCAATGATACACAGAAGATTAGCATGGACCCTGGGCAAGGATGACACACAAATTCATGAAGCATTCTGTATTTTTAAAAAATGAAAATGCTGCAACTTATTGTATTTTGTTTGTTTCCACAGGTTTCCAAGTCTTAAGTAAATGAAGCCACTACTAAGTCCCTGTCCAATCAGAAAGAAAAAGATTAGAGGAACATTTGCAAAGGTGAGAGAGGCAGGGCCTTGCCATATTCCAGGGCTGCCTGCTGCTCAGCATGCAGGGCCTGTCTGTGGAAGAGAGGGCGGCCACAGGAGAAGTCAGGGGCCTAACAAGCATCCCATGCTGCCTCTGAGGCTTGGATTTATACTAAAGCAACGGAGAACCACTTAAGAGTTTTCACTAAGGGAATCATTCAATCAGCTCCACACTCTAGAAAGATCCCTCAGGCTGCAGAGTAAACACAAGGTATAAGGAGCAATATACCTTATTGGAGGAAGGAAGACCAATTGGGAGGCAATTGCACTAATCTAGGGGAAGATGAAGTTGTTATGAACAGAGTTGATGGCAATGAGGATGGAGAGAAGCAGCTGGCTGTGAAAGAGATTAGGGAGGGAGAAGCTGCCAGAGTTGGTGATTGATTGGGCAACAGTGAGGTTGAGGCACTAGAATGACAGGCAAGTATCTCCCTCAGGTAACAGGATAAATAATGGTACCTGAGTTTCCTTTGGAACATCCACGGGTGATAGCCACTAAACAGATTTGATGTATAGGTCAAGAGCTCAGCAGAATGACCTGGACTGAGATAGAGACCCCTGTCAAGGATGCATTTCTCCTGCATGTCTACAGCAAGCTGCACCATGTCTAGCATCATATCAGTCGCATTATTGAAATTATAGGGTTACGCTGCACATTCACTGAGGACAGGCATCATTTGTATTCATCCTATTTCTAGTACTCAACAAATGATTATAAGAATATTCACAGGCACTGTTTTTACATGCACAAACTTATTTAATGCTCACAACAACCTTTTGAGGCAGTACTAGCATTATCAGATGAGGAAACTGAGGCTGAGAATCAGTAAAGGAATTTACCAAAGTCCTGCCACTAGTGAAACAGACACTAAGCATGGATTGTTACCTTAGGCAGTAGTAGTTTCTTAACATCTGTTAACTTAAATAAATTGGCCTGAGGACTATATAGAAAATAAGTTACCTAGAGAAATGGAGGAAAGGGGATAAGGGAGCATGAGGCCTCTAACCAGGAATAAAGGAGGTGATGGGGAAAGACATTTGGTCTGGTGCATGGAAAGCCCACAAAAACACATTCTGTCTGACTTCTGCTCAGCTTTCTTTCTAGGTTAGGCTTCTGGAATTCTACAGGGCCAAGCCACACCAGTTACATCTTATATTTCTCAGCATTGGCATTATCGACCTTTTGAACTGTTGGGGGCTGCCCTGTGCATTGTAAAATGTTTAGCAGCATTGCTGACCTCTACCCACCAAAATGTCAGTAGCACAGATCCCTCAAGACATGAAATTTTTATGTCCCCAGTCATTGTCAGATGTCTTCCAGGGGGAGGGGAGGAGCTGAATTACACCAGGAAAACAATGGTCTCGGGAGCTGCAGTGAGAAAGGGCAAAGAAAAGGAAGAAGATTCACCTTTGGAGGGGGAAAAAAATCCTCCCTCAGTGACTCCTGATGTCCAGGCCATTCACAAATCAGTGATTGATTATTTTCCTGGACCTGAAATCCTTTTGAATCTTTTCTTCTAATTATATTCGTGTTTTAATTCCTCCTGTGCCAAGCCTTGTACTTTCCTCAGCATTTACACTATAACCTCAAACCACTGTACTGACTTCTGTATTGATCAAACGACAATCTCTTCTCTCTCTCTCTCTCTCTCTCTCTCTCTCTCTCTCTCTCTCTCTCTTTCCCTTCAGGTTAGTAACCAGTAACTAGGGTTTTTTTTTTTCTTGAGTCTGCAAATCCTCATATTAGTTAGAGGATTTGTCACATAATTGTCACATCATAAACCACACAAAAACACAGGGTTGAAAACAGTAATCATTTGTTGTCATGGATCTGAGGGTCAGCAGAGGATTGCTGCTCTGAGTGGGGTTTGTCAGGGTTCATTGATCTATGATTATATCTGCCTCTCATCCTGCCAAGACAACAGAACTAAGCAAGACATGTTATAATTGAACAATACTTTTTAAGTTCTCATGGTTATGTCACACCTGCTAACATGCCATTGACCAAAGCAAATCATGTGGGCAAAGTCACATAAGAGTGAGAAGGCAAAGAATGTGGTTACAAAAAAATGAGAACTGGAGCCATTGTAATCTATTTTATGCCCCATTTAAATTATCACTATTTCCAATTTTTTTTCTTAGTCCCCTGAGTGTCACAAATGTTAAGAGTTCTTAGGTGATATTTGGTATTGAAAGGTGATATCTGGTATTGATCCCTGTGTCCTTCTTTCTCAGGATTGCTACAGCTGTTTGGGGTCTTTTTTATGCCAGCTGACTTTTTGGAGAGTTTGTTCTAGGTCTGTGAATATTCTGCTAGTATTTTAATGGTGAGTGCATAGAATCTATAGGTTGCATTGAGTAGTATGGACATTTTAATGATGTTGAGTCTACTAATCCATGAACACGGTATGTTCTTCCATCTGTTTATGTCTTCCTCTATCTCTTTTTTCAGTCTTTTACATCCTTAGTTTATTCCTACGTATTTTAATTTTTTTTTTGGTGCGATGGTAAATTGCATTGATTTTTAATCTCTCTTTCTGTAAGTTTACTATTGGTATATAAAATTTCCATAAATTTCTTGGCATTGATTTTGCATCCTGCTATATTGCCAAATTCATTTATTAAGTCCAATTTTTTTATGGAATCTTTAGGGTTTTCTATGTACAGTATCATATCATCTGCAAATAATGTCAGTTTTACATCTTCTTTTCAAATTGCATACCTTTTATTTCTTCTTCTTGTCTAATTGCTATGGCTAGCATTTATAGTACTATGTCAAACATGAATGGTGAAAGTGAGCATCCCTGTCTCATTCCTGTTCTTAGGTGAAATTGCTTTAGTTTTTGCCGATTGAGTATGATGTTGGCTATAGATTTGTCATATTATAAGGCTTTTATTATGTTGAGATATCATCTCTCTATTCCCATTTTGCTGAGGGTTTTTATCAAGAAAGGGTGTTGAGTCAAAACCGGTTTGGCTCAGTGGATAGAGCATTGGCCTGCGGACTGAAAGGTCCCAGGTTCAATTCCAGTCAAGGGCAAGTACCTTGGTTGTGGGCATATCCCCAGTAGGGGGTGTGCAAGAGGCAGCTGATTGATGATTCTCTCTCATCGATGTTTCTAACTCTCTATTCCTCTCCCTTTCTCTCTGTAAAAAAAAAAATCAATAAAATATATATTTTTTTTTTTAAAGAAAGAAAGGGTGTTGGATTTTGTCAAATGCTTTCTCTGTATCAATTGATATGACTATGTGATTCTTGTGATGTGATTTTTATCTCTCAATATATGTGATGTATGACATTATTGTTCTAAAAACTGTCTGGTACTGGCACAAGAACAGACATATAGACAAATGGAATAGAATAGAGAACCCAGAAATTGACCCAAATCACTATGCTCAATTAATATTTGACAAAGGAGGCAAGACCATACAATGGAGTTAAGACAGTCTCTTCAATAAGTAGTGTTGGGAAAATTGGACAGATACATGCAAAAAAAAAAAAAAATGAAACTAGACCACCAACTTACACCATACACAAAAATAAACTCAAAATGGATAAAGGAATTAAATATATGAAGGAAAATCATAAAAATACTAAAGGAATCCACAGGCAGCAAAATCTCAGGCATTTGTCGAAGCAATATCTATACCGATACAACTCTATGACAATGGAAAATAAAGAGAAAATAAGTAGGAACTTACCAAAATCAAAAGCTTCTGTACAGCAAAAGAAACCATCAACAAAACGACAATAAAGTTCACTGCATGTGAGAACCTATTTGCCAATGTTATCACCAATAAGGGTTTAATCTCCAACATTTACAGGGAACTTATATAACTTAACAAAAGGAAGATAAACAACCCAATCAAAAAATGGGCAATAGATCTAAATAAATAGTTTCTGAAACAGAACTTAATGAAGGCCAAGAGACATATGAAAACATGCTCAAAGTCACTAATCATCTGAGAGATACAAATCAAAATGGCAATGCTGTACCATCTCACACCTGTCAGAATGGCTATCATCAACAAATCAACAAACGACAAGTGCTGGCAAGGATGTGGAGAAAAAGGAACCCTTGTTCAATGCTGGTGGGAATGCAGACTGGTGCAGCCACTGTGGAGAACAGTACAGCGTTTCCTCAAAAAACTAAAAATGGAACTTCCATTTGACCCATTGATCCCACTTCTAGGAATATATCAAAAAAAACTAGAAATATCAATTAGAAAGGACATATGCACCCCTATGTTCATAGCAGAGCAATTTACAATAGCTAAGATTTGGAAACAACCTAGTGCCTATCAATAAATTATTAGATTAAATAATTGTGGTATGTCTACACAATTAACTATTATGCTACGGTTAAAAAAAAGGGGGGGGGGGGTGGATACTTACCATTTGCAACAGAATGGATGGAACTGGAGAGCTAAGCAAAATAAGCCAGTCAGAGAAAGGTAAATATCACATGATTTCACTCATTTGTGGAATATAATGAACAACATAAACTGATGAACAAAAACAGATCCAGAGACAAAGAAGCATCAATTAGACCATCAAACCTCAGATGGAAGGTAGGGGAGGGCGGGAGTAAAGGGAGTAGAGATCAACCAAAGGACTTGTATGCATGCATATAAGCCTAATCAATGGACACAGATACCAGAGGGGTGAGGGCATACGTGGATGGGGGGGGGGAGGATAATGGGGGGATAAGGACATATATGTAATATTTTAATCAATAAAGAAAAAATAAAAAAAAATAAAAAGTAGGTCTGCTTATGCCAAGAAATGAGGTAATACAATAATATCCTAGTGCTCAGACACTCAGCCTTACTTATTAATAT